AACACGTCAGGAACACGTCAGGAACATGTCAGGAACATGTCAGGAACATGTCAGACTTCAGTTCAGGTCTGAAAGGACGTTATTGAATGCAGCTGATTTCAGTCACTTGATGAGTCTGAAGCAGTGAATTAAACAGTTTTTATATTTCTGAGGGAAAGTCACTGTCCAGTTTATCTGTTAGCAGCTTAGCTTAGCTTAGTTAGTCTCTTACCGCTGATGCACTGGCAGAGAGGACGTAGTTTCGAGGCCTCGTCTCCTGAAAATCTGGTGCAGCCTTTGAATAAGAGCAGGGAGGAGGAACAGTGACTAAGAATCATTCAAACAGAAAGACAAAGAGCAGAGAAGCTCAAAGACAAATGAAAGGACACAATTTAGATGATCTGATGTAAAGAGCTCTGAGGTGTGAAATCCAGATGAACAACATCCTGTCACCGCTCTGATGAGTTCTTGGTTCTGTTCAAGCGTTAATGGTCGTAAACCCCACCTACTCCATGTTAGCAGACGGGACATGAACCAGACTAAATGTCAAAGACGTTAAATAATGAGTTTGAAATGAATTAGTTATTTGATGATATAAGAAACGGGCTGAGACATGATTGAGACGACAGAACAAATCTGAGAAAAGATGAAACTCACTGCTGCTTTAGCTTCTGCCAGCTTCGCTTTTTTCAGACGAGCTTTGCAAATGTCGAGATCCAACCGTCGATTCTCCAGAAGCTTCCTCTCTTTCTGCACAAGACGAGAAGAATCGAGCGAGAAACAGACGAACAAACACTGTGACGTCCGTTTAACTTTGAATTTAAAGAGGGAACGACACAATCAGATATGAGATGCTGACAGCTGCTGAACATTTTGAAAACATTTTACAGTTCACGTCTGAAACGTCTTCAAGCATCATGGCGTCGCTCAGACTCACTGAAATCGTCCTCCAGTCTCCTTCCAGGAAGTTGCGTAGAGGAGTGAGGAAGGAGACGGCTGAGGTCTGGAGGAACTCACGCTCGGCTCCTCCCAGTTTCTTCTGGTACTCTCCGACAATGATCAGGGTGCTACCTACACACAAACACACAAATACAGTAAAATCTAGTGGCTGCATAACTTTATTGGTTTAGTACTTTATCTAAACAAGGTTACAAAGTACTACACAAGTGTGTGTGTGTGTGTGATAGTGTATGTGTCACTGTGTGTGTTTGTGCGGAAGCAGTTCAGGGTGTGGTTCTGATGACCCTCCACTGACCGTACGGTGTCTCTGGACCAAACTCCTGAGCAGCGTCCAGCATGTGTTGTCCCAGCAGCTCAGCGTTGGTCGTCCTGGACGGAAGCTTCTTGTCCAGTTTGTCGTAGATGAACTCTTCGATTCGAGCACCTGAGCAGGTGAAACAAAGAAAACACAGCTCAGAGTCCTCCGTCAAAATCATTGACACAAAAATGTAAGAATGTTTGAATCGTGTTCAGTTGTATACTTGGTATGTTTTTACAATGTTCTTGTATGTGTTGCGTCATGTATGTTATACATTTAATACATTTATCTATCTATGTGTGTAAAAAACATAATTGCAGAAATGTCTTTGGAGTTTCCGGTGTCCCTGAAGGCATCAGTGTCTGGCAGGTACCTGAGTGTGTAACTCAACAGGTGTGTTTCTGCAGAGTCACTGAAACTCGAGCTCGTTCACGTCAGCTCGTGTTCTCCACGTGTTGATGCTGCACGACTCTGTTAACAACTGCTCGGGTTGTGTTTACATTGTTTTCTGATTTTTATATCTGGACTTTTGGTTCCTGAGCTTCTTTTTTCCTGTTTTAGTTTGAAGTTTTTTACCTTTTGTCTCACTTCCTAATTTACTTCCTGTTTGTTTTGTTTCCTGCTGCTGTGATTGGCTGCTCCGCCCTGATGCGTCTCACCTGAGTTTAATTATCTCTTCCTCTCGGTGTCACGGTTATGGTTTTATTTGGTCACGTTATGTATTTTTCTACGTTCCTGTCATGTTCCCTCCTGTGTTCCTCTCATGTTCC